CAAAGTTTCTTTCTTGTTCCCATTTCCTACAAAATCAAGTTTCTTTTTTTTAATTAACCATAATAAATAGTTGCCAAATGCAATTATATTTTTCTTTATTAAAAAAGAGGAGCAAACAACAAGAAACGGAAACAGATGTTAAATGCAGCATATGTCTTTAAATTGTTATCATCCCTTAAGCTCCCATTATTTACAGGGCATCCTGAGAATGGGCTTACCTACTTCTGGATTACTGACTCGTGTCCAATGACTGTTAAAGAAGTCGTGAATAAAGCCCCTTTTGAAGTTCTTAGCCTCTGCGGTGCTATAGCTGCAGCGCTTCGCATATAACAAAATCAAGGACTGCCTTCCGGATCACGAGATCAACATGTGAGCTTTGCTTTCAGTCTTGCCTTTTCCTTTCTAAGTTYATGTTTTATGTATGTGTGACGTATAGTATGCTTTATCACTTACTAGCAAATAAAAATATTGTATGGATTTGAGTTGCTATGCGGCAATAAGGATGCACCAATCCAGCGGATAAAGTGGGGTTGCAGTCGTCTTTCGAAGCCACGGAGCAGCAGTGACCCGTGCGACGGTTCCCACTGCCATATGGGCCATTTATGAAACATCTACAACTCTTTCTATTTTTTGATATTCTTTTTTTCAAATAAAAGTTTTGAAAACATATTTGATGTCTATTTTTGTTTTAGTTGCTGAAAAGCAAAATTTTATAACGTTTTTAGAAAAAGAGACAAATTTCTTTTATAATAATTTTTGGTTGACTATGTAATAATATTAAAGAGGGAAAGAAGAGCCACAGAGAGAGGAAGTTTGAGAATTTCTAGAGAGTGAGGAAAGATGAGCTAGAAGGTAAAAAAAGTTACAGAGAGAAGTATGTTAGCGCTAGAGAGGAAGATAAGTTAGAGGGATGTCTGATACAGAGAAATTTAAGTGAAAAAGAGAAGTTTTACAGAGAATAAGTTGGAAAAAAAATGGAAAAAAAAAAAGTGGAAAGGAAAAGGTCGGGGAGGGGTGTATTTTTAGTTTTAGGGAGAAAATGTAAGTTGAAGGGAATTGTTTCTGAAAAATTTTAGAAAAAGGGGGAGAGTTCGAGAGTATAAAATAAAAGGAGATTTTCAAAAACACAAACATGAGTTTTTTGTTTATTCTCAGATTTTAAATATAATTTCGAAAATGTTATTCAAAATTTTAAAAGTTAAAACTAAATAGGTAATCAAAAATCTATTTTGCAAAAATGAAAAACCAAAAATAAAGTATTGTCTAGAATTGGCCCAGTAAAATAACAAAGATTATTGAACAGAACTCGGGGGGCATTTGAATTCTAAATTATGCCGAACAACTCACCACATCAAACAAACAAAAAACAAAATGTGAAAAGCCAATCAAAGCAAATGCCTACGAAAGATGTAAGAAAAGAAAAAGAAGGAATCTGTTGAAGTAAAAAGGGAAAAATGAACTGCAGTGGAGAGTCTGCACTCAAAACTTGTTAGAAATCCTTATGTAGTTTAAGAGGCGTTTAAGAGCTTTGCCACTGTCGATAGCTTCTCTGGCCCTATCCATGGCTGTGGATACATCTTCAGCACCACTGCATCCCAACAAGTGATCCACCATTCCAGCATTCAAAACAATTCTATCGTATGCTGCTCCTTTTTCACCATTAAGAGCAGATAACCCCAACTCTATGTTCTTCGAGACCTGAGGATGCAAAGTTGCAAGACTTAACTTTAAGGCAACGAAAAGAGAGAATAATGGAACTACATAAAAGTGGTGCAAAGGAAAATCAGACAAGACCTAAAATGCAAACATGTAAAAAGAAAGGGGAAATGGAAACACAGCCGCTTAGATATTAGGATAAAAAGATGACTCAAAAACTGAAAAGGGAAAAGAAGCTAGGGAAATGCTCTTTCCTTACCGAAGACGAGGTTTGTATGCATATATCATCGATCAAATGAAAGAATAATAATTAGGTAGTCAACACTCATCTATTGCTTACCACCATTAGATGTTTTACAAATAAGATAAACGAAGGTAAAAAAGAAGATATTATTTCTGTGGTAAGATTTTTAAGTATCTTTTCAAATGAAATGACAAAATGATGAGAACCCACGCTAAGAAAGTTGCAAAACGGATCTGCTAATAAATCTTTTAAAAATCTTTTTTTTTTTATGAACAAACTAGATAAAAGGCCACAAACATGGCATCTTTTAGCCAGAATTCTTCAAACTCCAACCTCTAATTTATAACTAATTCCTCCCCGTTCCCCAAGCAACAAGATTGAACTATTCCACAAATTTTGTCAGAAGAGATGCAAACAATAAAAGAAAAAGGAGCACAGGAGAGTACCGATCTGTCAGTTCTTGGAGTATCAGTGGGTCGAAATCCATAGTCTGCAGCATTGACCTCTAGGTTAAAACTGTGACGTGATACTCCTGCAACATGATTATTTCATTTAAATTGATCTTCATCTTGATATTCGAAATTAGTAAGTGAGAACAGACAAAAGGTTTGAAATTAAAACCATCAACTTCAAAGGCTGATTTCATGCTTAGTGATCGAAAACCAGAACAGTAGTTCACAGGAATTCCTTTGGAAGCATCAGCTGAGCGCAACCTGGTCGTCATTGAAAGGCCTCCTTCCTCACCCTATAACAGAAATTGTGTCGATCATAACTTATAAAATATAAGAGAAATGTTTAAGACATTGCACAAGTAGCAAATTGAGTCCTAGCAGCAACCTCTCAATCGTTAAAAAGGCAAGCTCCAGAAATCACTCAAATGAGCAACCTCCCATTTGGAAATTATTAAGTTACGACTTCAGAAACCATATACATTATGCAATGCTATACCAAGCAAAAAGAAAAAAGTAAGATAAAATCAATGCTTAAAAACGTCCACCGAGGAAATATCATTTCATAAGATAATCTTACAAATTAAATTCCAACCTTCACCACTAAGCCGGAATGAACACCCATTTCATAAGATAATCTTACAAATTAAATTCCAACCTTCACCACTAAGCCGGAATGAACACCCCTTCTCCTCATTAGCATTAGAAGTGGCTCCTCATAACCGTGATGATAGAATCCAGTCACAATAGCCTCCTTCCCTTGAGCCTGCATTAAGCATGGTCCTGTACATGTTATTTATCCAGATAATACTAGTATTAAACGGATTATCGAATGATATAAGGAATACAATTTTTAAATTTCCATTGAAACTCCTTGAAAAATTCTTGAAAACTAAGATCCAAACAAGAATTATAATTAGAGTAACGCATATGTTCTTGTTCAAAATAATGAAAGAAAATTTAAAGGCAAATAAATCACACTGTTGTAGACGATTCTATATTCATTTTCATATTTAACTGTTATGATGTATTACATATCCAACAAACATCGTTTTCATATTTAACTGTTATGATGGATTATATATCCAAAAACAAACATCTAACCACTTTCTGATAAAGAAATTAGGAACCCTAAATGAGCCTCAAATTTAAAAGGAGAAAAAAATATTAGACTAGAATAACAGATTATAATGAACAAGATATTAAATCCTAGGTAGGTGGCCACCATGGTTTGAACCCATTCCCTCTAAGTCATTTGCTATTTACATTGGCTCTCATGGACCACTTGGGTCATCCCATGATGGTTAATTTTAAACTTAGATATTGAAACAACATATTTCACTACAAACTATATTTCACTACAAACTAAAAGATTACGATTAGAAAACAGCCCTTATCACCAATAAATAGTTCAAAGCAGATAAAATAATGTCYCATACCTCTTAATATACCTCTTTCTAAAGCAAATTTAAATAATTTTACTTAACATTCTATAAGAATATTTGAAAATTACAACAGCAGTAAAAAGATTAACATTAATATTATCATTCGTTAATCGATTTGGATTTTGGTTATATGCAATAAGCTGATGAATCACGTACATGTGTGACATAGAAACTTGTGCTTTTATTGTTGGTTATTAAGCCAAATACACTACCCTTAATATCTTATTGTTGTTCAAATTCTAATAATCACTTATTGGTTATCTCAAGACAAAAATCATTTATCGGAAGGTAATATAAGATTGAACAATCATGCAYAGCGTATATAACTGGCCAAAAGATTTGTTACGCAAAAATGTGGAGATCGATAGTCAAATATGAATTTTTCACCTTGACAAATTGCTGAACCTTTTCAGTTGTTGCCAATGGCGGCCGTTTCTTTATGTGCTCCCTCAGCCCAACTAATGAATATCTAAAAAATTCACACCAAAAGAAAAAAATTCTTCTCGTTCATAAAATAAGAAACGGGTCAAATCGATCAAGGACCACAGTTGTAAGAAACTACCACAAAATTGTTCTTACAATAGTGATGAATCCAATCCAAACATTAGAAAGGGGGAAAAAACAGGTTCTCTCTAACAATGATAAATGCAACATGACATAATGAACAAACAAACAAACTGACTAGATTTCATACAAAGATGGGCGAGCTTCACGCTGACTTACATAGGCAAAACCAACCTTCTCATCCTGAAATATATTAGTGACAAAGAAAAGATTAAGACGATACATGACATTATGTGCCATGCATAAATGAGAATTAAACAGAATCATATTTAATGCATAAATGAGCATAAACAGAAAATAGTGAACCTCAAGAAGTTCTTTAGCATGCAAGGGGGATAAGTTTGTGTTTGCGCCCATAAATTTCAGCATCTGCTCTTCAGTAACACCACCCTATAGAAGATGACCGATGGAGAAATTGAAAAAATAAAGTTAAAAATGGCACAATTGGTTCATAGAGTACCAGACCATGTTTAAACGTAAAAAGAACCTTCTATCCCGTAATGATTAAGGTCTTGAAATAAAGGGATGAAAGGAGTAGGAAAAGACTAGAGGATGCTTTTGTCAGTTGATATAGATTTTCGTGAAAAATAGGTGATTCTTCCTTGAAGCTTAGCTGCAGGGATTAATAATATCCTGTTTGCTAAAAATAAAAAAAATAATAATAATAAAAAGGAAAGGAAAGGAAGGAAAGCTTAGGTTAACCTTTGGAGACATCCAATCCACACCGTGGAGTAAGCAAGATTCTTCATAGCAGGATCTAACTGCAGCAACAAACAATGTGCTCCTGAAATAACGTGTATTTCCATCATAAGGTTCTCCATAATGAGTCAATGATCTAACATCAGCAACTGGAGTAGAACCTATTTGCAATATTCATTATTCAATACCGAATCACCAGAGTCGTGGTATTATTTGGATGTATCAAAGAAATATACTAATYGGAGGGAAATATTCACCTAATTCATCATCAAATGCAAGGCAATGTGCTTTAAGCTCTCGATCAGTTTCCCTGTTCATACGTTGACCAATTAAGAAGGCTGAAAGCAGTGAATCACTCGCTCCTGACGATTTCCGGCTATCTGTTTTAAGAGGAAGCACATCTCTCATTACCCCTTGGATCTCCTCATACCCAAGATGCCCTCCAGCTAAAATTTCCCTAAGGGCACCAACCAACCTCATTTCGCAGGCACCCGTSCCAACAAATTGAGGCCCAATCGAACTCCCTCCCATAATAGAACCCTCAGGATCAGCAATGAAGATTACATCAGGAGGTAGAACTCGAACTAGCAGTGGCCAAAATGTCGTCATTGCCTTCCTTTCCCCTTCACTCCACTGAGTTGCCTCAGGAAAGACATTTGCACGTATTGTCATTGCAGAAAAGAATGCCCCGAGCTGTGATCGTGACACTTCCTCTTCATCTTTAAGCTCTCCCTTCGCTGAAATCATTGAGAATGATAAGATAACATACACCTTCGTTTCAGGCAAAATAGAAGCATCAAATAAGTGTAATATTCTGCAACCAAAACTTAACAGATTTTGCTGAACTGGTTTGACTTGAAATTTTATAGAAGTTCTTTTAAATTACCCTACCGATTTGTTACTTATTTTAGACCACGACTTCTTGACAAGATTTAGCTAACAATAAGAGATTGGAGCGGAGACACCTATATATTTTTCTTGTCGAACACAGAATCATTGAACTTAAGGAGATCAAGTTCTTCAGATTTTTAAGCCTCGTATGGTAGAACACACCTTCAGATTCTAGTACTGAACTGGTTTAACTTCAAATTATATAGAAGTTCTTTTTAACTATCACACCGATTTATGATTAATTTTTGAACCGCGACTATTACGACAAAATTTAGGTAATAATAAGACCGAGAGTAAATAGTTTTCTCGACAAACATAGTAACACTAAACTTAAGGAAGATTAAGTTCTCCAGATTTTTAGTCTCGTATGGGAAAACAGGTCTTCAGGAATTCTACTCCCTAGTTTTCTCCCGAAATATGTATCATCGGATTCCTCTACATCACTAAATCCGCCCGTGATATATGAAAACGATGAACAAAAAAAGAAAGAAAGAAGCACCTGATCTTAAAATTGTGTCCAACACTTTAAACGCTTGCTCTTCACTGAGCGGCCTGGTCTGAGTAGGTCCCGTGCAAACCCTAGCCTGAGCTTCCAGCACCGTCTGGTTCGGCCTCGATAAATTCAAGGAACGATACGAAGAGGAAATTGCCGGACTCCGAACATCTGATTCCGATAGTCCTAATTGATCAATCGTAGCCCAATCGAGCTCAGCTTTTGCGGTCACACATATCCGCTTCCCTCTAATCCAACGTCCTCGATCTTTTACAGGAAATAAAAAAGGTGCTTGAACCTGCCAAAGGCGAAGATCTCTATGATTTCTGCAGCGCGCCGGAAGGAAAGAAGGTTCAGGATGTAACAGAGCTTTCATGTCGATCTCAGTGTTCTACTCGCTGCGCTGAAATTGCTTCTTCCGCTCCAAACTCTCTCTGGAGATTGGCGCAAAATATGGAACACCGCTACCGGAAATGTATATCGCTGTCTTATGGAAGCATTGACGTGCTTTAAATTTAATATAATATGATATATCCAACGCGTGACGACGGGAATGCACGCTTCGATTAAACTTTTTTCCTTTTTTTACTCAACAATAGGTTGATTTTCATTGGACGGATTGGTTTACCATTTTTTAGTTCAACRTTTTGTGGGTAGGAAGCATTTTATCCACTTGACAATATTCAAACTGACAACTATTACTATTACTTAATTATATTACAAATTTGATCCCACATTGCGAATTTTGTCTAAAAATAAATCTTTTAATCTCCAATCCATAACTTTTTAATTTTCTATCTAATATGTAATTTACCTTATCAATATAKTTCAATCGATTAAATTATATATATCGATAAAATCCTCACTCTAGCATATTGTTGTATTAAAAGATGTCCTTTATCTATTTTATCATTTTTAAAATTAAAGATTTGATACATAATATTGAATCTAATTACTTTGAGATACATTTTTCACTCAKAAATAAATTATTAAACTATATACCATATAGCTTAAATAAGGGTGGAATGGGTCCCAATTTATAATTTTTAGGTAAGATTTGTATTTATTAGTGAAATAATTAAGCACCTTTATTATTATAAAAATCTCATAATAATAATATAAATTTAATAAATTAAACATTTTTTAGCATAAGAAATTGGGATTTTAACTTCCGAACTATAATAAATGAGCAAGATGTGTCCTTTTCTTTTGTTTTTTTACCGAAGCAAGATGTGTCTTAACCATTAAGTAAATTCATGTTGTATATATCCAACACTTTTTTTTTTCACAAGACTGTAGTATTGTTTTTCTTTTTAACCCTATCAATTCTTGTTTAACACTTTTTTTAATTATTCAATCGAAATTTTATTATGAGATAAAAATTCTAAAATGTATTCAAATTTAAGATTAAAATTATAACACTTCTTTATGTTAAAATGCAACCAGACGTAATTGAAAATTGAAAAAAAAAATCACAAAAACCACCAAATGCTGGATTTGTAGGTGTCATATTTTGTGCACAAACAAACAGAAGTATTATATTTTTCTACATTTCTTATTCTTATTGCAGATAGTGAAATTAAAAAATAACAATAATAARAAATAAAAGGAAAACAATATTTTAATTAACAGCCCGACAATTCCTCCTAATCTCCCCCGTGTTTCCGGTGAGCACATCCAGCCTACTGAGTCGAACCATGGCCCTGGTAAAACTCCTGGACCACAGCCTCGGTTCAGTCCCCATTCTCCGAACAAGATCCCTCGTGGTTGGATCATCCGCCATGTCTTGGTCCGATTTGAGCAGCACCCTCCCTTCCTTCAGCCTCAGATAGAACGAATTGTCCAGCCTCAAAGGCGTCGACGGATCAAAATTCACTTGAATTTCTCCCCTCTCTTGCCCAGGCAACAGCGGCGGGCAATGAACCGACAGGTAATGACCGTACGCCGCTTCCATTCTAGGATCTCGCGCTTCGTTCTCGCTGTAATTGTAGAGCCTGTAATCGAAGAAATCGCATTGTGCTCTGCCGATCGAGTGCGCTCCGGTCAACACTACCATTTCGTCCACCGTCATTCCTTTTCTTGTGAAGATTTTGGTCATCTCGGCCACRGTCATCGTCGGAAACGGGATGTTACCGATTACGTCGGTTGCGCGGGAGGCGAGGCCGTCGCGGCGGCCGGCCGGGACGATGAAGTTCGGCAAACCGGAGAAGACGGTTGCGTCTCTGGTTGCGAACGCCAATATGTCTGCGCAAGATACAATGCCGGGACAGGCCGTCTCGATTCTGGCCTTGATTTCGTCGATCATTTCGAATCCTCTCAGAGTTTTGCCGTTCGCCGGTGATGTCTTTTCCACTGGCTCGCCGGATTTTGTCGTGTCCAATAGAATTGAAGCGTCGCAACCCTGTTTGGTTCATTAAACGAGTTTAAGGGTGAGATTTTTGAAAAAAAAAAAAAACTTTTGAAATCTAACCACAAAAAATTGATTTAAACCTATTAATTGGTAGCATAAAAGATTGGATTGGCATACTTCCGGGTGGTGGGAACACTTACATTGACAAAGCAATCGTGGAAAAATAGGCGAAGGATGCTGGCAGCGAGAGTTGGATCTGCTCCGAGTACCTCTTTGGCAACATCGCCGGCGATTTTCTCGGCCTGGGGGCAACTATAGCGGTAGAATCCGGCGTGCAAGTGGTTTCCGATGGCTGCAGAAGAATTTCCCACAAGGAGGGAACACCAGATGAAGAAACCCGCCAACACCACTAGCTCAACCCTCATCGTCGGAATCTGAAGGTTTTCCGKCGGACCTGCCTTTTTCTATCGCTTGATGATTGCTCCGGCTGTCGGAAATGTTCCTATGAATAAATTACAGGAAGAAGATGCAGAATATATACACATGTAGTTTTTGTATTCATGCTGTTATTCGGTTTTCTGGAGCCTGGTAAGGAATGGGTAAAATCGTTCTGCTGCCACCCATGACTTCTTCGAGCACCATCGGTTTCTATTCTTTTGTTTGTTTTTCTTTCGCAAAGGTCGTTTCTTCAGTTTTGCATTTGCTCTTCGTTTCGGTTGTTCGGCCCATCTCGTGGATTGTGATGGGCTGAATGAATCGAGGAACAAAGAATCGCAGCCCAATTGGCAATAACTATATTATTTGAGAATCCAAATTAAATTGACTTTAACTAATTTACAAATTCGTCAAAAGATTGTCCATTAATTTATGGTATTCTTATAAATTATTAAATAGACCATTCAAATATATATTTAATAAACAAAAAAAATACAAAATACAAAAGGACCATCCAAATTAAATCGGGTTGGTTTCCTTCTTAATAAGTTAATAGCACCAATTAAGAATTAAATCCCTACAAAATAGCATTATATGAGTGCAGAGAGTTAATATGGATTAGATTTTGGATATATACCACATATACTTCAAGGTATAACCTAATATTTTACTATATATCATTAAAAGGTATATATTATATCACCTTTTGAAGTAGTAGTCAAAGGGAGCATAGCTTTGGATATATCTCCAATCAATAAGTTTAAATTTGGTGGAGTGTATATTTAAATTCATGACTTTTTGATAGAAAAAAAATATATATTTTATGTTCAAATTGACTTTATTTATTGATACATATTTTATAAGATTTTATCTAAGTCTGTGAAGCTTGCCTTAGGCGGTAGCTGACTCTATAGATGAATTAACGTGCTAGCAAGTAGAAGACTTGCAAAAGAGAGCAAACAATCTGACGCTCAAGTCAATAGTTGGCTAATTTATGCTCGAAAGAGTATATAGTTTTGCGTACCTAAAAATAAGGTGGGATGTCTYTAATTTATAGGCAAAGTTTCCGACAGGACTTCCAACAAGCCTCTAACAGCTCTCTGATAGTCCGAGAATCTCTGGGTGTTATCGTAAGTTGTGTTAGAGTTCGATTCCTTAAGAAATGCCTTTGATCGGTTCGACTAATAATTCAGGCGCCCGTTGTAGAGGTTTTAGCTTAGCTCGACTGACATCTCAAGTAATTGAGGAAGGAAATCCAGGTTGGCGCATCTTCAAGATGACTCACGACCATCTTTATAGATCAACTCGGCCCCATTGGGGAGTTCGAGGTGCGATTGCTCTTAGATATAAATCTGTATGCTAACTCACAACTTGTCATATCAGATATTGACATATGGTGAGTGAGAAATCGCCACCCGACATGTAATAGTCAAACAAATTTACATTATTAATATAWAACATTGTTATATTTATTTTATTGCTATATTAATTGTGGACATATGAGAGAAGTAACAACGCAAACTAATGTTTTCAAAAAATAATATTAATAATAAAAAAAACAACTCTTTTGACCCATTCAATCCTATTATTTAGGAAAAGAAATAAAATAATATTTGAAAATCAAATATGGAGAAGAACATTTAGACCAGTAATATCAAACTTCCAACTACCAATAAATTTCACCACAATAATTGTAGTCTATACATGCTTACGGGAATAAATAATAATTAGCAACAAAATTCAAATAGATTTGAAAAAAAAAAAAGCAAAACTAGTTAAAAATCGACATTTTCTTCTCCTTTTTTGAAGAATAGTTAAAAATCAATTATTGGTTCCGTGTGATGTTTTCAAATATATGATCGCATTTTAAACCAATAAATAATAATTTGTAACATATCATAATTATWTTTTTTAAATACTCAATGTTTTTCTACTAACAATTAGATACTAAAAAGTTTAGATAAGAGAGAGGTCAAGACGGAATGAAAATCTATATTTTCCGTCACAGCAACTAGAAAAAAATTGTAACTCTCATCTTTCTATTCAAATCTCATTCTAAAWCAAAATTTTCATCCGTTGTAAATTTTGTCATTTATAATTTGAAAAAYTACCTAACTAAAAAGGAGACCGTGACAGTATTGTCACATATGAATAGTTAATTAATATGATTTCGGAAAAATTATGATTTATATATTCATAATATATTAATATATGATTGCTAGCTAGGTTGTTCGTTATTGGCTAACCASAAAGAAAAGGGAGAACGAGATCATGCCACGTGGGAAGGCCTATCTTTCCAATGCGTCTCATTCTCATCAGCCGGCTTAACAAGCATACCAAAATTTGTCAAAATTAATAATAATATATATACGAGAATGTTTATAAGATGTTCATGTTATTTAATCATTGACGGCAAGAGGACACAAAGGAACAAGCAGAAAAATGCAATCAGTTTGTAGTTGGCTTCTTCTCTAGCTTCGTATTATCCCCTGTCTTTATTTTCCACCCACCTTCCTCTACTTTGTAATCCCTCAGCTCAACTCCTCCCCTATCCGTCATTCTAGGACGTTTGGTAAATATTAAAATTAACSGATGATATATTTATATGGCCATCTAATAGAAGAAAATACAYGATTCTTCTTTTGAATTTTTTGAAAAGTGGACAAAATTTTCGACATTTATATCATAGAGGGCCTTTTTACTCCTTCAAAATTGTTGTCAACTCATTATTAATATTCACGGAGTTTCATCTTAAAATCAATTAGCAATGAGAATTAATAGTCCACGTGGAAACCTTAATATGTCCCCTTAACATGGTACCTCTTTTAGGTTCATCAATGTTGACTGTATACTGTATTAATATCTTAACTCGTTTGAACTTTTTTGACTCTGACACCACATCAATATTAGTAAATATGAGTTTTAAAATTAATTGACAATGGGAGGAATAGCTAATGTGAGATTTTTAACACTCACAAAATATATCATGCTAAATTTAAACTTTTTAAACGGTAGATTTTTTTAGTACAATTTGTAGATATGAGAATTTGAACTCACGAACTTTTGATTGGAGATAGATGACTCAACGAGTTTAACTATGCTTAGATTGATCAATAGAACTTTAACTGAAAAAACATGATTGGAGACAAACATATATTTAACGTTTATCACATCATTAATAGTACTTTTAAACATATATGAAAACTGGAAATAATAGTTCATGCTTTATCAATATTTTGAGAGTACCATACAAATTTGTGTGTTTCAATCAATTGTTATACAAAAARTTATAAGGTTTATTGAATATTATTAGAAGCGAACATGAATTTAGTTCAACCATAATTAATACTTATCTTTAACTAAGAAGTCACGAGTTCGAATCTTCCACTTCACCTTATTGTATTAAAAATATATATAAATATATATAGAAGGCGTTTACCTAAATGCAAAATTGATAAATCTCTTCCTATATTTTGTACATGAAATTGCTTACATTAGATTATGTATTGGTTAATTGCCCTAAACTATTTAAACTCAAATTTATAAAACTTATTTTTTTTTTGAAACACATAAAACTTAACTTTTTACAAACCATGCCTACTAATAAATATATAGATAAAATTTTACAAACCATACACCTTGAAACCAAGTACAGCTGATTTTTATAATTAACATTTGTTTCGTACAACAAAGATAAAACTTAGTTATGTAGGTACTACCGTTAAAAAATTGAGATATATTTTTCTCTCTATTTTTATATACGTATATTCATATTTGAAAGTCCGATACTTTTTTGGTCAAATACAATATACAAAAGTTCAATACTTTTTTGGTCAAATACAATATACAAGTGAAACCTGCCTTATGAGTAAGCTTGCAAAAAGCTTTTTTTTTTTTTTTAATTTCGAACAACTTGGACGATTAGTGTTCAATATAACTGTATTTGCAGTTAAAAGTCAACCAATGTTCTTCCTACTCAAGTAACATCCCTAATTGTATTACCATGATGATATTTCACGTAGGATGTGTAATACGTCCAATAACGTTATACAAGATGTCTAACTGAACTTCCATAGCTTCAGGGGCATGTTCTTGCCCCCTTACTTTCATCTTCAACATCGTGATTTATAAGAAAAGTCCACTACACTCCAGTCTTTTTTATTTGATTCGATAAGTCGTAACTTAATTGATCAGAAACAACGTACTACTTTTTTTCCTCACTTCAATTTCTCCCTTCTACAAATACATCGCAAAGACAAGAGACGATATCAATTGAGAACTCGCTCTGAGGTTAATTGTAGTTGCGTAATGGGAGAACAGACTTAACGGAATCTAGAGTAGAACATGTAAAATTTTCTAGTCAGCAACTAATTGTTTTCTTAAAGTTTAACCAAAGGAAAGGGCAACATTTAAAAAAATAATTTAACTAAAAAAAAAAGTAATGAGAAAGTATACATATTTATATAATTAAAAAATTTATAACAACCTCAACCCTCGACTCGGCCGTTGGTATCAATGGCAGTAGCTGCTTGTTGTTATCATAAAAGATGTCCAAATTAAAATAAAAAAAAAAAATCCAAATGGCCAATACAGATCACAGGGTTGATGTCAAATATCGATCAAAATCTTACCTCCTCAGTTTTCTTTCTTCCTCACAGCGCGATACGATCGAAGAAATCCTACGACCGCTGCCATGGCTTCCAACGTCGTCGTTTCGTGGTACTCCATATTTCTACTGATATTTACCTGTTCTTCTGCAATCTCCGGCGCCGCCTCTAACGAGACCATGTTTCCGATGGCATGTAATTCGAACATCAAGAAGCTGTGCGACGCGTCGTTATATCACGTCACGAGTGGCCTTCAGGCGGAGCGCGAAATCGCCGCCGCGTACACCGTAAATCCGTCGCAGATGAAGCCGATTAATCGCGGCGGGGTTCAAGATTACCTAATCACGGCGCC